CTGTATCTATAAATCTTACTTTTTATTTTATTATTTAACTTTTTTGTTGTTGTTGCAGTTTTTGGCCGGGGCTGGGTTTGAACCCGCCATCTCAGGCATAGGGGGCCGGTGCCCTACTCCTTTGAGCCACAGGCACTACCCACTAAGTTTTTAAAATTCTAATGATTTGCCACCTTTGAATATTGTCAGCTTATCTTCCTTTCCACTCCTTATGCTTTTCTTATTTTTTGTACCTTAGTACAGTAGCTTCGGTGTTGAGTACAATGCTAAATACTTGCCTTCATTCATCTGATTTTAAAGGGGCATTTCTAATTTTTTCACAATTTAAAATGTGTAACACAAGTACCTTTTTAAAGATTTCCCTTACCTGATAGTTTCTTTCTTTACCAAGATTGTTTAAAAAAACCATTACAGTAGTTGAATTTTATCAAATGCTTTTTATGCAGAAATTGTTTTTCCCATTCTTACACTTAGGGTTCCTAATGTTATTTTTACCCTTACAGTCCTGATACAAACGTAACTTATGTTATCTTCATAAAAATGCTCATGTTGCTTAATTTATGATTCTTTAACTATTCTCTGGAATATGCGTTAATGTTGCCATTAGGGTCTCACATAAAAGCGATGTCCACATAAAAGCTATGTCGCAGAGAATAAGCATACTTATTGAAATTGTATTTTAAATAAAGGTGACCATTTGCTTGCTCAGGCAAAATGGCCAGCTTCTTTTACTGTTGGTTTATATGGTCAATTTTGCACATGTGCACTATACAGCAATAACCTCATTAATAGTCATTACAATCCCTCTGCACATGCGCACTGGACATCAATGACTCCATTAATCCATTTGAACATCTTGTGACTACCTTGCGAATAGCGCCTCTCTAGTAATCTGATAATCCACCCAACGTACACCTTTTAACATAACCCTTTCGACATAACCCGGTTTGACATAACTTAATGGAGAACATGTTGTTAGCCATTACTTCTTTGTTCTTATCTGATGAAGCCTGAGGCTATGGAGGAAAGAGACGGTTTGAAAATCTGTCCTACTGACCTTGCCATTTGGAGGCAGTTACTTCAATCTTTAAACAAGGCATAATAAAGAAATTTCTAGGGCATACAGGAATTTGTGTGCAAACCTCCGCTCCCATGTGGGCCTTAAGTCAGGGAGTTTTTACACCCGCAACCAACCAGGCCAACCTTAGGTCAGGGGGGTTTTAGGCCCACAACTAACCCGGCCATAGGGGATTCTGCCTCAGTTCCTTACAAGTATGCCTGCACAAAGTCTTTTTCACTGCTCTCTCTCAAACAACTTTTTTGGCCAGAAGCATATAGGCCTTTCGCCTATACGTTAATTTGTATTTTTTTCTTTTTTTTTGTCACCCTGGGTAGAGTACGGTGGGGTCATAGCTCATAGCAACCAACTCTGGCTCATGCAATCCTCTTGCCTCAGTTTTCTATTTTCAGTAGAGACAGGGGTCTTGCTTTTTGCTCAGGCTGGTCTCAAACTTGTGAGCTCAAGCAATCTACCCGCCTCAGCCTCCCAGAGTGTTCAGATTACAGTGCCTGACCTCTCATATGTTGTCTATGCTCTGGTACCATGGCTAAGCTGGACTCCAGGAACAACTTGAGGAGTGCGATCTCTTGCTGATAGAAGAATTTGTGTGCCCTGGAAATGATCATTCATCGAAGTTCAGCCTCTTGAGACTGCTGCTTCCTTTCCAGCTAGAAGTGTTGAGATCACTGATCACAGCAGAGCCCAAACTGCGTTTCAGTTAACACCTTCTTGTCGCCCGGTGGAGTACACACATTCTCCCCACATCTGCGAGGGTGTTCTCTGTGTGCTTCACTCTCCTCCTCCATCAATATGTGGCTGTTAGTTCACTCGCATGCCTAGGTCATCCCAGCATGAGGAAGTGGGTGTCTGAGTGTGCCCTGAGAAGGATGGTGAACCGACCAAGGTGGGTTCCCTTCTCGTGCCTCTGGAACTATAGAAGGCTCCAGCTATCTGACTCTCGTCTGGAACAAGTGGGTTAGAAAATTAATCAGTACAAATTACTGCAAAGTCTACAATACTCATACAAACGTGACAAACCATCCCACACAAGTACCCAGGAAACTGGCCACGTCTGAGACTGTTCCTGAACTGCACAGTGGTAGGAGGTGCCCGGAACAATCTTCCCTGTGCAAGCATACGTTCCTTCACTCAGTCCATCACCACTGCCACGCGCTGATTCACCAGAAATTCAGTAATTACCTGTGTATTAGTCTTTCTTAAATGTATGCATAGCTCACATTTATTTCAAGATTTAATATTGGAAATGTTTGGGTCTTTATTTACAAATTTGGTGATGTGTTTTTGCCTGGGATAACACTGGTTTCATTTTTATTTGTCCCCACGTCCTGGTTCCCAAGGACACACTGATGACATGAGGACTTAACTGTACAGCGTACTTACTCTGTGCTTCCTACTGCTTATGCTTTTCTGTGCCCTTTCTTCTATCTTGCTTCTTTTAATGTTCTTTCTTATTCCAATTTCCCTGTCTACCAATTAGGAGTAATAACTACCAGTGGCTTTCAGCTCTCACTATGTAATTTTATCAGAGATATTTGAATTGAAAACTTAGTATAGAAACCCTCATCTGAACACAAGGACCTTGGGGACACTTCACGTTTGATCACCCTTCCCATCTTACTTGCTAATGTTCTTCAATGTTTAGTCTTCTGACTAAATTAGACATCACTTAACAATATGTTGTGTCACCTTTAAAAACAACAGTCTCATTAAATTTGGAGTGAAATCTTTTTAAAACTCTGACATGTCACTGAACTCATCCAGCAAATTAAATGGTGAAGCTTAAAATGAAGGTTAGTCATGGATTAATAGCTTTTGCAAAACTCTAGGTCTTCACATTGTGGCAGCACAATCCTTGCCATCTTCACTATGGGGGTTTTGCAATAACTATCCCAGGGGTCCAGTTCACTGTCCCTCAGACCGTTGGCAGGCTGGACTGCGGGCCCCGGGATGAGTCGGCTGCTAAGCAGGATAGGCAGTGGTGGCAAAATCACATGTGGGCCGGATAAGTGTCCTAGGTGGGCCGCAGTTTGAGGACGCCTGAACTATCCACTTCACTTCCTCTGATCCAATCTCCATACTATAGCCTAAGTGATTTTCCAAAGCACACTCTATGAATGAACTTTGTAAACTTGTTAACCACAGATCAAATTCCCAATTCCTTGGCATGGTTTAAAAGGTCTTTCATGATGATTAGGACCCTCTCTAGATTTAACTACATACTATGCTCCATCCAGCAATATGACTGTATTGACATGCTATTCTGTTACACCTGCTGCCTTTATAAGTGATGCTAATTCTTACTCATCCTTTAAGACTTTAATGCCACTGAGAGATCTTTCTGTACCAGCTCAGGCAAATTATTCCTCCCCTGCCTGCCACTAATTGAGGTTCTTAGCACTTGGCACTGGAAGTATTCATATACGTGCTTGGTTCAGATTTACCACTCGCTTATTGTGTGTGACCTACACACTCTGGCTTCTTTGTCTAGTGAATTAGGTCACCAGTACTTATCTTACAGGGTCCCCAGGAAATAGTGCAAAGGTACCAAAAATGTTCTCTTCACTTTGATATAAAGCTCTCAGTGCTCAATATGTGCAAGACACCAGGGGTACATATAAAGGTGAACAGGATCTGGTTCCTCTGCTCCAGGAGCTCACAGAATAGCAGAAATGCATCTTGTAGTAGCATCACACTGTATGAAGATTACTCATTCAACAACTATTTTCTAAATGGTCGACATATATAAAAAATACAATATATTAGAAAGTTTTATGAGTATAGACTTAAAAAGAGCAAATGACAACTTCCAGCAACTGGTACCAGATTGATCACAGGTTACATTCTGTGTTCAAAGATAAAATTAAAGACATAAATCAGCCTGTTCGAGTGTTGGTTATGACTTTTGGAAAGACGTTATTTAAAGGAATGAGTCAGTAGTATAAGGGGAGTTTCAATTAAATTTGGACAAAAATGTTTAATATAATAACTTTAGCACATACAAAAAATGAAAAAGCCTATCTAAGCATTTAGGGAAACACTTACAAAATAGTTGTCAGATCCATAAAGTTTATTTTAAAAAACTCTTGAAAACTAACCATACTGGGATATTTAATAATAGTTCTAAAAAAGTTTGCTCCCTATTTTAAAGGAAAATACGTACCAGTATCTTCCAGACTCCATCTTTATAAAAGTTGAACTTCTAGATACGGAAATGTACTGCAGTAGATTCTATAGTTTACACTTTCAATCACAGGATTGGAATTCATTCTCCCTACTCCCCTGGCCCTCAAGGGTGGCCATTATTACTCTTACATTAATAACATCACATTAAAAAAGGATCCTTAAACAGAGTACACACTGCATGTTTACTAACAGAGCCAGCCTTCTCTATTTATTGTCACATAATTATTTCAGATAAGCATTTGACTTTAGGTACAAATAGAAATACAACATCTCATGATCGTAAACATTCACCAAGAGCTTCCAGAGCAAGATGAGTAATAAAGGTGGCCTGAGAATCAGTCAAGAGTTCCTCACACATTTGGATACTGCTGAGATTAGGGAAAATGCTTTGAAGGCAAATTACCATAAGCCTTACTTGTATTTCTGTACGAAAGTAGCTCTGGACATACATTTTTAGTCAAAAACACCTGGAAGTTATTCTAACAATGACATTAAGCACCATTTTCACTTACCTGAAATACATCGAGTTAAATTCAGCAGTATATATGACTGTTAACATCAGAGATTAAAAGTAATTACAGGTCTAAAGCTCCCTTTTGTGTTCCAACTGGTGCTAGCAGAACCGCTCATGCACACTCAGGGTGCTGACTCCCCAGGGCCATATGCAACCCCTAAGTCTCAGGCACAACTATTACTTCCGTCAAGGGGTGCTACACAAGCAGACTTAAGGCTGTACTTGGCTATAAAGAGTTCGATTTTCTCTTTAATATTCTTTCTATAATGTATATCACATACATGATTCAGAATGTCACAGGATAGGAGATGAAAAGTCCCCCAACACTTTCCAAATACTATTTTCCATACAATTTATTATCAGCACATTTACATAGGGGAGTGTTCATAATTAAAACCATTTTAAAAAATGCAACTACGATTTTCAAGCTCATATTGTGATTTCCCCAGGATCATCCTCACTGTCATTCTGACTTTTGGTAAACTTCACATTTGTCAGATTGTCCACTGCAGTCCTTAGGCAATTCTGATGTTGCTCTGAAGGAACATAAAAATTAAAAAATATTCACTGCCACCCACTTTGGGACAGGCCTGGTTGCAAAGAAAACGGTGTTCCTGGTGCTGAAGGGTAACTAGGAAACCCATCAGGCTGAGCTGGGTAGCTTTCCAGAGCTGAAGCAGAATGGACCTGAAAGAGAGAAGGACACAGCCTAGCAGGGCGCAGATCCCAGCCAGACTCCACCCCAGAAACACTCAGAGTAGGAAAGAAAGGAAAATACTTGGGGCAGCTGAAGTCTGCTTCGTTTCCTAAAATTCATAAGAAAAACTCAACTTCCTCAGGTGAAGGCGCTGCATAGAAATGTCATTAAACTATTTAATATTCTTTCAAAGAAATGTCAGTAGGTTTTCTGGAGATAATTTGCTTTAGTGGTCTATTAAATAGAGTCCTAATTTTTTTTTTTTGCAGTTTTTGGCTGGGTTGGGTTTGAACCTGCCACCTCCGGCATATGGGGCCAGCATTCTACTCCCTTGAGCCACAGGCACCACCCTAGAGTCCTAAATTTTATTAAATAAATCTCCAAACTGATTTTTAAAACCTATAAGCAGGAAAAACAATTCACACAGATGAGTACATCCTATCGCCCTTGTTACTCTTCTGAAAAGAAGACCAGCATAATTTGTAAATTTTAGGAGAACTAATCATCAATCTCTACACATTCTACAAAGAGCCATTTTGTGTCAATGTTGGCATACGACAATTGATGCTATGATTTTACGTAGCATCACTACAGAAGTTACTCATCCAAGTTACCCTTTTATTGAAGCCAGACCTGCCTGCTTACCTGCTGTAACAAGGCTGACTGTGCAGCTGCGTTGTGTTGGAACTCCTGCAAGGATGACTGTGAAGGGCTCTGGGAAAACCCAGGGATGCCTGGGAGAGACAAAAGGCCTGGAAAAACAGAACCGCCTGCAGCCTGAAGTCCAGACGATAAACTAAAACAATTGACAGAAAAACAAATCAAACTGCAGGCAATACATGAAAGCTACTGCTTTTATAATTGTCACGCACTATCTCAAGACATTAAAAACAAAAATATTTAGAATTTATTCCTTTGTTGGAAGGAACCATAAAAGTCACCATATACTGATGTAAAACTTACTTTCTATTATAAAGTATTTTATGCTGAATCCAGCCTGTCTTTGTGTTAATACTATTTTATAAGCAAGTAACTCTACAAAACACAAATCCAAAAATTATGTCAATAAGCATTAATATTTTATATATCTTAGCATGGTTTAAGAGCCATAAAACACTGTTGAGCACTACAACTGCAGCCCAGAAAAATATCATTTAGCACCACCAAATAATTAAGAGTTTGACTTACTCTTGAAATAAGTCTATGAATTCTAAGATAGGTAAAGAACAATTTGATCCTACTTCTCCACTATTCACTTACCCAGCTTGTGCAACAAGAGCGGAGTTGAAGTTGGAACTGAATGCTGAGGCGAACCCTGGGAGGACGGGAGCTGGGGACGGGGCTGTGGCAGCCACTGGGAGGGGTGTGACGGCTGCGACGGTAGTGGCTGCCTGCAGCCCCGGGAACGAAGGGACAGCAGGGGTAACGCTGGGCGTATTGGTGACAGAGAAGCCAGCGTAGGAGGGATTTGAGGACGGCAGTGGACCCTGGGTAACTGAGAAGAGTGAGGGGACAGCTGTGGACAGGTTGAGGGGGAAGGGTGCTGCAGAGACGGGTGCTGAGGCGGAGAGCCCTGAGAGCACAGCCGCGGTGGAGCTGGGGTGAGAGGCGGAGGTGGGGGTGGCACCTGACGAAGTGGCTGCTAATGACCCTGGAAGGGATACTGCTGGATTAAGAGATGGGCTGCCAGTTAAAGGGAAATTATTGGTCAAAGAAGTAAAAGGAGGAAGAGCAGTGAATACGGGAGCAATGGGGGTGGAGGAAGCATGTGGTGGAAGGGAAATAGAAGAAAGGGGAGTGGAGCCATTTAAGGGAGTACTCAAACTGGACAGACCTGACAGTGCAGGGTTGAGGCAGGTAGGTAAGCTGATGGGCACTGACGTCGGAGTGTACGTGTGGCCCAGTGTCCCTGACAAACCTAAAGTGCCGTGCGAGGGATTCACGGAATGAGACAGGCCTTTGAAGGCTGAGGGAGTAGGACTTGTGGGCTCAGTTTTGATTATAACGGGAAGAGTCGTTACAGCAGGGGTAGCTGAAATGTGCAGGTCGGAGGCCCCTGAGTGGGAGCCGTGCAAAAGAGCAGCTGAGGAGCCACAGCTCACTGGCACTGACACCGATGAAGACGTCGGAGTAGCTAAAGGGGACTGCACAGACAGGGCAAGTGGGGCAGAGGTTGAGTTAGTCCCAAGAGATGGCAGGCCTGGGAACACCGCCAAGCCCGAAGCGGAACTCTGCGGGGTGGGAACAGCCGGTGGGGCATAGCACTTGTTAGAGGCTGAAGCAGGAGAGTCAGAGTTTTGATGAGTTAGAGAAGACAAGGAAGCCAGCCCAGGAGAGGCTAAAGCAGAGGAGTTGATTAAACTGGTGTCATTTGATGTTAGAAAGCCTTTCAGAGCAGATAAGAGAGGACTGTCCACACCAAGGGCACCAGTGACGCTGGGAGCAGAACCCCCAGCGATCACAGAAGGGGAGGGGTTGCCCCCACTCTGGGAGGCTGGGGGCAAGGGCAAAGGCAGACTGGCAAACACCGATGGCAGGGGAGCGGGAGTCTGGCTGCTGGTAGAAGCAGCAGTAGAGGTGGTAGAAAAGGGGGTGCTTGTGAATGGAGCACAAGTGGAAGGAAACGCCTCACTCGAAGTAAGTGTGGGCCGAGGAGCAGACGTGGCCTGAGGGGCCGGGGTAGGAGGAGCAACAGCAGGACCTGGCAATGGCACCAGGCCAGAAAAAATGGAAGGAACAGGAGTGGATGCTGTGCTGTGGACAGAAGTAACTGGTGCAGCAGGCAGAGAAGGGGCTCTGATCACTGTGGGGTTTGGCGTTGACAGCTGAGGTGTAAGAAGAGCTGCAGAGACCTGCCCTGGGAACACAGGAAGGACGGCGTTTGGAAGGGTCACCCCGGACATGGTGGTGGCTGCTGACGCAGAGGTGTGAGTGACTGCCTTGACCGGGGACGCAGTAGGGACGGGAGTAGCAGCGGCGGTTGAAGGATTAGAACCATGAGGAGAAAAGAGCTGATTTGCTGGGGTGGAAAATGCTATGGGAGGAAGAGAAAAGAAGGCAAAGATTTATCATCATGCTGAAAAGTCAAGTTTTACTCAAAAGAAATGCACAGCCATTTCTGTAGTATTTAACAAATATGAAAGAACGTCCATGATAGGGGGAACAGGTTCTCGTAATATCCATATTTTGGGAGCACACAAGGCCTCCAGAGGTCACGCCCAGTACTGTTTGTGGCCACTCTGAGTTGAGATTAATAAGCCAGATTACTAATCTGTACACTTTTTCCCCACACACATTTGCTCATTTCATCATCACACTACGTTAACCTCCAACCTTTATCTGTCTTGTCCTGGGAGCTCCTTTTATAGGCAAAATCTGTGTCTAGTTCATCTGAGTCTTAGCACCTGGCACAGAACCTGTGTACAAAAGGGTCTGCTGTACTGGATACATCATGATTAACTCAAACTAGTTCCCCAGCCCCCCTGGAGGGCTACTCACAACACTATTTCTACAGTTTGTTACAATGTTTTTATTTTGATAAATTCCGCAAATACCTCCCTGAATGAATTCAGTAACTAGTCTGCCTGTGACAACCCTCTTGATGTCAAGTGGAAAGCATTACTCAGGTAGCCAATATCATACTGGCAACTATCATCTGATCCTGCACTCACATCAGATTCTGTTGCAGTTGTAAGCAGAGAATGCGCCTTTTGCAGTGATAATCAGCTGAAAGACAATTTCATGGGCTAAGACAGACCTTTTAAAACCTATACATAATTAAGACCCTTTGGAGACAGGAAGCTCAGTGGTCAGTGAGGCACTGTGCTAACCTCAGGTGGGGAAGGGACACCAGGAAACAACACAGAGGTAAACACCACGTACATAATTCATCTGCGTGAAATGAATGCAACGGGGCTGAAGCAAAGTTTTTAGTTGTTCTAGAAAAGAACTATAATAGGAAAACTGACAAATAGTAATACATAAATATATAAACTGCAAAATCAAAAGGCCTGAAATCTGGACCATATTAATGTCACAGACAGTGATCTAAATAAAAAAAAGACTAGATATTATTTTAAATTTAGGGTACCTATAAACATGGATTTATACTTTTTCTATTTCATTTTTTGGGTAAGATTTAGAAACATAGGAATATATACTTAATTGTGTGTTTATAAATAATGCTCCCTGAAAACCACTGAAGTCCACAGTGGTGGGCAAATAGCTGAGAATTCAATATCATAGTTAACTATATGCCAAAGACATGTAGTTAATGACAAATCTCAAGGTAAAACCAGATTGTTCTTTATAGCAGTCTCTGCTAGAAATCTTTTTATACCATGAAGCAAAAGCTCTGCACCATTAGTCACACTGCCTGCAGTTAACACGAAACAGAAGCAAATCCAAAAAACCCCAACCACAGAATCAACATCCCTTTCCTGTCATCTAATGTTATTAACCATAAAACACCATCTGTCAGACCATGTACTAAGTACTCTGGGCCCATCATTTCATTTCATTTATCCTCACAATGGATAAGTCTGAGACAGAAGCTAACATCCCCATTTCATAGACGGGCAATCCTGAAGCTTGATGTGGCTAAGCCATTAATTAAAGATAATGCAGCTACTGAGTGGTGGAGACAAGATTTGAGCCCGGGCGTGACAGATCTGTGTTCTTAACCACTCCACTAGTTTTTCTTTTTCTTTTTCTGGGGGTGGGGGGAACAGGGTCTCTTGCTCTGTTGCCTGGGCTACAGTACAGTGGCTTCATCACAGCTTACCGCAACCTCAAACCCCTGGCTCAAGGAATCCTCCTGTCTCAGCCTCCTGAGTAGCTAGAGGTAAACAACATACACATAACTCATCTGTATTAAGTGAAGGCACGCACTGCCATATCCGGCTTACTGTTCCTATTTTTCGTAGAGACAAGGTCTCACTCTTGCTCAGTCTGTACACAGAACCCGTGTACAAAAGGGTCTGGTCTTGAATTCCCAGGCCTCAAGCAATCCTCCCACCTTGCCTTCCTCAAATGCTAGGATTACAGGCTTGAGCCACCTCATCCAGCCCTGTCTTTATTTTTGTTTCTTAATACAGTTCAAAAAAGAAAGTCTTAATCATGCTAATACAGTGAAAGAAAACAAAGTATGATATTTCTGCCAATGATACTTAAAACTACTTAACCTGATTACTTACTTCAGAAACTGATCTGTGAATCAAGCTGAACACAAAGGCTGACCTTTCCTGAGTCTCATTTTCACAGAAGTTAAAGACCTGCTGAAGATCACAAAGCTAGCTGGTGCCAAAGGATAAAAGGATAAGAAACTGATGTCCTGATGTCTAACTGTGCACCTCCTTTAGAAATCAGCAGCTCAGGCTCGGTGCCTATAGCTCAACCGGCTAAGGCGCCAACCA